TTCTGATGTCGATTTCATATGGTTTGAAGCACTGTAAAAGGTTTCTTCGAGAAACGGCCTCTTATGCTTTCTCAGAATATTCAGGGCTACTGCAGGGTAAACTGACTTTCATATCACCATAAGTACCACCATCTACGTCGTCGCACGCAGGAAGGAAGCTCACTTTTTTGCAGTCATATTTGTCTGTGATTTTTACATTTTCTTTTGTAATACTGTAATTGTATAAATGAAGGCTTAAAAACATACACCATTGCCTCTTATGATCGTTATGGCCTTTGTCCGCCATCCATGGGAAATTAATACAGTGGACCACAGAAGCTGTAATAAAGGTGAAAAATGTGTTGAACTTTTCTCACCGGTGTTTGTTCTTTTTTGACCGTAATATTTAGTAGCTCATTAATAATAATAAATAAATTCTTTGGCATTAATCGAACCGGTTTGAGGGATGCGGCCCGGCATTCGAGTTCCATTCAGAATCGTAGAAGCGAATAGAAGGCATGGTGGCCTATACATTTAATTGTGTTGGCCAGCCGAAGTACAAGTCTGTGCTTTTATTATCCCGGACAAGTTTTGTACCAAATGATCAAATTGGAAGGCATGGTGGCCTATACATTGAATCGTATTGGCCAGCCGAAGACTACAAGTCAGCGCTTTCATCCTCCCGGACTAGTCTATTACCAAATAATCAAAGAAAAAGTGACGAAGGCCTTACTAGATTTATTTGAGTATGTAGTTCCTGGATCCCAACTATGGGCCATCCCAGCGTGATAGTGCGTCACTTACCACTGCACCACCTCCGCCCTTTTAATTTATTAGATTTACTTGTATATATTTGCTTATCATACTGCCGCAGTAACGGATAGAAGTATGATATTGGAAGAAGTAAGAGGGTTATTACCTAAAGAATCTCTCTAAATACTTACCAATCGCAAGCAGCGAGCAGAGAAGAAATTCTGGAGCGAAGTGCATGATTGGGTGAAGAGAAGGTCCTTGGAGGTGGTTTTTATAGCAAGAAAAAATGACGAGAAAATATTTATGTAACTTACGGAACATTTGGTTGTTTCCAATTACGCCTTCTCCAATTTGTTAATTTGCCTCTTGTTTTGTCTGTGGTGTTGGATATGTCATTTCCTCCGAATTTTTAGCTAAATTTGCTTTTGTAAGTGCTGGCCTTTCTGAGCTATTTCGAAAACTTCTTCATCATGTTGAAATGACTTCCACGACCTTATAAATGCAAATGTCGAACAAAGACCGAACTGCTTTGAACCTGCGGTTTCATAGCAAGGTAAGTAAAAACATTGAAGAGGTGCTATGAGAGTCCTATCCATGTTGAGGCTCTTATGAAGAGATTCCGCGTAACTTTCAGCTAACCAGTTTGTCGAATTGGTCTCCTAGGTTCAAAAAAACAAGCAAAAAAAAATGCAAAACAAGTTTTCAAGAAGGGAAATATGATAGCTGTGTCCTTGACGGTTTGCTCACAAAACAACTCTACTTCTAAAGTACTGTTGAGATGTGAGCAGTTGAGATATCCTAGAGGTCAATGAGGAGTGATGAGTATGTCTCGGAATCTTAATCTTCCGAGTAATAGAGAAAAGTTCGCGATGAACTCATCTATGACCTCTTTCCGAGACTTCTCCATGTCCTAAAGACGACGACTAGTTCGAAACGTCGGCCATATAAAGCGGCTTTCACATAGCAAACCCGTACGGCAGAACAGTGTAAAACATTGTGCAACAGGCCCAGGCTTCAAGAAGGTCAAACGTGGAAGTTACTTATTCCGAGTGTTTCAGTTTCTGACTACGTTTAGCGGAAATGGCAGTCAAGTAGACCCAGCTACTGGACCTAACTAGTCAAAGGCCTTCAAGGATCCGGCAGCCATATGGAGCTGATATCTGTACCTTCCGTTCTCATCCATTCTAGCACCTTACACCGGCTCCAATCCTTCTCAAAAACCGAACACAGGAGGAACCTAGCCATCAAAGTCCTCTTTTGCCTTTGCACCATGGCCGAAATTCTTACACTTTGGATGCTCCATTCAGCGTTCGTGGTTTAGGAAATCGGGTGAGGGCTTTTGCACTGCTGCCATAGAATACAATTGATCTCCCAGTATGGATCTTGGCTGTGTAGGCGACTGGGTTCGTTAGAGACCGGATGAGCTCTAGCTCAGCAGAAGCTTTGACGCAATTCGAGATGAAATCATTCGAAAAAGTTAGGACCCAACTTTCTAGCTATTTTCGTACACTGTGATTCTTTCAAAAAAAAAAGCGCTTCTATCGCATTTCACAAGATTACCAAGCTCTGCTGCTTTCTTGAATTTTCGGAGAGTCGGATTCGATTAATGCAGAACTTTTTGCTCCACCCAATATCTCATGCCTGGAGAATATGTGGCTCTAAGGAATATTCTCACGCTCGGAAACTTTTGGAAGTCTTCTCGACTTTGTTTAGTTCTTTCCAATGAGTCTTCTGCAGCTTTTCTTTTTTGCCTTAATTTTTTGAACCAAAAATGCCTTGAGACTTTGGGACATCTTGGATTGTTTGTTAAAAGACCAGTCAGTATTATTGGCCAGTAATTTTAACGAGTTTTATTTTTCATAGGCTCTCGACAATTTCTGAAAACATGCAGGGTGCATGCATCCTTCAGTCGTGAAAAGGAGCCTGAATTGGTTTACAGAACGAACGAACGAACGAAATAGATGGGGTGAAACTGCCTATTAAAATAATCATACCCTAATTATACTACCGAGGAGTGTGTGGAGGTGATGTAGTGACAAATGGTACCATATCATACACGCACGGCCACTGGTTCGAATCGTGCATCGATATCCATCCAAGCCAACCAAGTCTTCTATCCCTCCGGGTTGGCTAGATTGTACCAGACTCTTAGGAGGGGGG